GTATATATATTAGTAATATACTAATATTAGTATATATATATATATATTTTACCTCGTTATTGATGCTTTTCAACAAGAGACATAAAAAATAAAAAAATAAGAGGAAAAAATAAAATAAAATCAACGTCTGTTTCGATATGGTTCACCGAATCTAAAGAAACTTGTCATTTTTGGCCAAACTGTTCAGAAGTTATGAGCAAAAAAAGCAATTTTTCTTATCTTATGACCACTAGTTGGCGCCATGCTGAAATGGTGCAGGTAACCTCAGGTCATGGTTGTCATAACACACACCAAGTTTGGTTTGAATACACTAAAGCGTTGCAGAGATATAGCCTCACGTCCATTTTGGCATGCTCTTCGTCAAATTCGTTTGCGCATTATTCGAGATACTTTTAGTTTTTTTTGTCATGGTCTGAAGATGATCTGGTTCAATTTTAGCAAAAACCAGGCCAGTGGTCTAGGAGGAGTTTGAAAAACCGAAAAGTATGGAGGTTCAAAAGTTATTAGCATAAATGGGAGTGCAAATTTGAGCTGTTGGTGGCACTAGAGGGTTTGAGTTAGAGACTCCAAACTTGCGGTGATAGTAGTTGAGACTGTCCTCTACATGTGTACAAGCAGTTCTATAGGCTGCCATAGACTCAAGAGCAGAAAAACAACTACCTTCAGTGCTTGGCCCTTAATAATAATAATAAGAAGAAGAAGAAGAAGAAGAAGAAGAAGAAAACGAATGGATACAATTGGTGCATTCATACTTTCAGTGCCTGGTCCCTAAATATTACAGATTTTTTTTGTTAATTACAGCTTTAAATGGAATATATAAATGGAAGCGGATAACATCTTGGTTTATATTTTTAAAACTGTACAAAACCAACCGAACAGTATAACTCTATACAGGCAGCCATCATATTACTTATTGGCCATAATAAAGTAAAATACCTTTAATACTTAATATGATACTTAAATATTAGAACTGCCCCGTATGCGAGTTGGATATGTACCTGGTCTGTACGTGACGAGGCAGTGTCTGCTGTCCGGCTCCACCTGTATGTCTGTGCAGTTGCCGGACTCTAGAGGCAGGATGTGGGGCGTGTATGTGGTTCCCTCCACGTGCTCCCAGAAACATCCGCCCTCCAGCGAGCCAGCGATTAGACCACCACACGGGAACATGCTGGAGGCGGCGCGGGGGATGTAGGACAGAGACACCACTGGACAGCTACAATGAAGAAGCGGGACAATATTATCAACAAACCACAGTTTGTATGGGACACAGTCCAACAATATTTACAGCATGCTACAGTTTCACCAAAGACGATATAGTTGAAAGTGACCTGGAGCGCAGCGGCGCCAGCTCCTGAACGTAAGTGCTGGTGTCCCGTGTGTCATACACCAGCACAGAGCCGTTGGCGAGACCGGCGTAAATGTAGTTGTTATTGTCATGGCACCAGCAGCAGCTCCACACAGGTCTGCCCGTGTTGTAGGCCTGAACCACCGTGTTCGTCATCAGGCTGCGAAGAAAACATCCACATGAAGAAACTCAAAAGAGTCTCAAGATGGTATATTCAGAAGCTGATCGAAATTAGCATTGGTTTTTGATGCATAACAAATCATCTGGGATTTGTCTTCAAGCATTTTCCAATTAAAAACTGTCGGTAGATTTAAGAGACATCTGAATTTCTATTATAGTAAAATCTGAATCTTCCGTGCCACCCAAAAAAAAGAATAATCATATTCCACAGTCTGTTTTGAATGTAACCCAATAAAAAGGAGTATAGTACAAAATAATGGCAAGAAACCCGAGTTGTCCAGGCAGGCTGCATGCAAAAACAAACATATAGCATGAGCAATGTAGTCTGATTCACTAACAGATGATTCTTATGAACTGCTGCTTTTCAGTGAAAAACAAAACATTGACTAGTGTTGTCTGATTAAGTTTTTTAATAATTTGTTCAAAAAGACAAGTTACTGGTTTGAATCAGTTTGTCTTGTATAATTTACAGCATTAAAGAGAGAGCACAGACCTCAAAACTGATTCTTTTGATTATATATCACAATCAAAATTATGCAGAATCAAACAGAGCGTCTGAATCGGAATCAAAATCAGGAAATCAATTCTACAGGATGACGGATACTGTATTTTTGATAATCATTGAGATACTATTATAGTTTCTGTAAGTATTTTGAATTAGATTGTATTTGTATATTTTCTTTATACAATTCATTTTTAATGTGTTTAATATTATATTGTTTTATTCATTTTAATTTTAGCTTTAGTTATTTTGTAACACTTTACAATAAGGTTCCATTAGTTATTGTTAGTTAATGTATTAACTAACATGAACAATACATTTATTACAGTATTTATTCATCTTTGATAATGTTAATTATTGAAAATACAGTTGTTCACTGTTAGTTCGTGTTAATTCATAGTGCATTAACTAATGTTAACAAGCACAACTTTTGATTTTAATAATGCATTCGTAAATGAAGTTAAGATTAACTAAGATTAATAAATGCTGTAGAAGTATTGTTCATGCTTAGTGCATGTGAACTAAAGTAGTTAACTAATGAACCTTATTGTAAAGTGCCAAGGCTGATATATCGGCCGATATTTGGCATTTTTCAAATATCGGCATCGGCCGATAAGTTTTTCTGTTTGGCCAAGGCGGGACTTTTATTTTGATGGCGCTGAGAGCGGCAGCGCCTGAGCACACAGTGCTCACATTCTCCCTCTTGTTCGCTCGCTGTCGTCGTTAACAGTTCTGTCTAATACAGATAGAAGTCTGTCTAATAATCTGATACAACTGTTAAACAAAGGAATTAAAATGTATACAAAAAGTATAATAACGATTGCTTTTATATTAGTAATAGAAAGGCAAACATTATAATACTTTTTCGTTTGCCACCATTTAAACAAATCTTTGAATGGCTAATGAAAATTTAATTTAAAACCTTGCAAACTTAAGTCGAATCCAGTTGTGAGATCTTGTGAAGTGTGCATGTTAACTGCATGATTGCGTGTTCTCTGTGTGACTTTCGGTCCGTGCAAATTTAATGCTTTAAACATTAAATTCGTAATTTCAAATTATGCTGCGCTTTATGCATTTGCCCACTGTCATATTCATGTTATTTTCACTGTGTGCTGTATGTAAAATGAGTGTTACCTTGGTTTTATTTGAAAAAATATGATTCCCAATGCACACAAAATTCCCAGAACACCGAGTGCTTGGTTACAGTTTACTTCCTTTTTAATTATATTTTTATTAAATATTTATTTTGTGGAAAATACTTTGTCATCTAAAGTAGAAGTATGTTTATTTTACAAATTAATTTTTTTATCCATTTTCAAAGGAGTTCAAATTTCTTAAATATTGATTAAAATAAATTCAATTATATCGGCCACCCTGCTTTCCAAGATATCGGCATCAGCTGTAAAAAAAAAAAACAGTATCGGCCGACAACTAATCTGGCCAATAACTTTAAAACACTTTTTGAATAACTTTTCAAAAATTAAAAACAGCGATACGGAAAAAAAAAAACAATATTAGTGCTGAATTCATTTATTCTAAAATTTAACAATGACCTATCATGAGAATGTTTTTAAATTATTAAAATTAGTCAAAAAAAACATTAAAAAAAACAACAATATATCAATGAAAAATTTACTTTTTTTATTGACATGGAATATAAATATGTACAAGAAAAATGTATCGTCTTTTTTTTTTATGGCATGTACAGTATAATGTTCATGTGCCCTCAAATGAAGGTTATACTGTCCTCATTTTATTTTCAATACATCTATCTTACGGTCCTTTGAACACAACTACATGAAGTTTATTTTGTAAGAACAGAACCAAAAAAATATTTATGTATCTAACTATCAGTGCCGATTAATCGGCATAAATTATATATTTGTCAGTGTCAAATTGATTCCAGTCCTGCGCTTTATGTGTTGCTTTATTATTGCAAGTGTTACTTGGTGACCTTTGTTGACAAACTTTATAATAGAACATGTAAAGGAACACACAATTATTACACAGGAGGAAAACATTGGTCTCTCACCTGGTGAGTTTGATTGTGTTGTCGAGGGCCGCAGACAGCAGAAGACTGTCCTGGTGTCGGCTGAAGGCCAGACCTCGGATCTGTTTGGAGTGGATGGGAACATACTGACTAGGCTTGAGAGTCGCAGTGCTGATCTTCTTCACACCGAAGCCTGAGGGAGCGACAATCAATGGTTATATAAACAATGAGAGGAAAAAAATCAATGCGGAATAGCTCAAAGTCCTACCCGGTACCAAGGTCGCTTGTGGAGATGGCTGAGATGCCAGCAGGCAGCCGAGAGGCTCACAGTAGGACAAAACCCTACTGCCCCCTGTCTGAGACACCAGAACAGCCTTAGAGAAGACATAATGTCCCCCGCTGGACGAGTCCTGCCTCTGGGACGACGAGAGAGACGCTCCCTGAGAGGAGCCGAACGCCGCCTGAGCTTTCCACCTCCTCAACTCCTAAACACAATAAGCACAGAGATCAGGACTGAATACAGCAGCAATGATGCTTTACTTCCACTAGTCACATGATCATAAAGCTCTTAATATGTGCCTCTCATTTGTTGTCATTTAATTGAACAAAATTAAATCGGCCACCCCACTCTTTATAGAGAAGCATTTTCAAAATTGGGTTTTTGGACCCCATTGACTTTCACTGTATGGAAAGTTTTTTTATTTTAGTTTTTCTTCTCTCTCTCTCAACAGAAATATTTTCATTTGGGGGTGAACTCTCCCCTTTAAGGGAATTATTTAAATATGCTTACATATGTGATATAACCATTTTTTAATCTGCTTTCCAAAGACTGGTCAAAAACATTATTTCGTATTTAAACAATAATTATTCTACTGAAATCTTGCATTTTTAACAGTATGGAACCAAAACAAATCAGCATAAAATATCAATACTTTCTGTAAAAAATTGAACAATATTTTTGGGTAAAAAAAAAAATGCTATATTTCCTGGAATATACAGTAAGTCGAGTTTTTTTGAATATCTGAATCATGCTGACTTATAAATCAAAGTTACGTATGTAATGCAATTAATGTTAAGCACGGAAAACATGTGTAAAGTATATATATTTGGGTTTGTGCTGAAGAAAAGAGTTTTGTGATCCAAAGTTTATTTTTATAGTACATTTCCCATATACCCGAAGCATTAGTTTCACTTTAATAAGTTTGTTTAGGCTTGGTGTTTATAATAAATGTTGCTTATAGGTTTTTCACAATCATATTTTTTGACTTGAAAACATTTGAAAGCCCTGCTCCAGATAACTAGTACCAAGACACATGAGACAAAAGAAAGAAGAGCACAGAGTTTCTCCTGAAAAAGACACACACCTCGACCTCTTTGCGCAGTCGCACATTTTCATCAGTCATGAGCTGCATCTGCTGACGACACTGAGCGACTTCCAGCTGCTCCATTCTCCGTGAGCCCTGCTCCAGCTCTAAACGACTGCACACAGTCAAACCCATCAGCACAAGCACATTCTGCAAATGCATTCAAATAAAACTGCAGAAGCAATAATAAACTCTCAAATAAGCACCTCTTCAGTCGCACTTCCTCTGCGTTGTCCAGCGCTTTCAGTTTCCGTGCATAAAGAAATATGATATGACCGCGTTTGGCTGGTTTATTGCACTGAAGAGACACAAAATCTTTCTATTGACAGATTTCATCACAAATGTTCTCAAAGAACTTTAACAAACAGAAAAATGCATGTCATTAAGTATTTCTTATATTATAGTATGTTATATTATTTATATTTGCATATTTAACATTTTTATTAATATTATTAAAACAATATAGTAAAAAAAAAATAAAAAACAGTATTACAATAATTGAAAATAAAAAAGCGCATATGCATTTATACAGCCATTCATGGAACTACTTTTAAAACATTTCTTAAAATTAAAGTTTTCCTTATATATATATATATATATATAAATTTGTTGTTGTATTAAAACAGGATAATTTATCTGAATCTGTGAATTTTTACAGCCAGTCATGTAAATTATTTTAAAATGTCTTATAAATAATGTTTTGTTATATATATATATATATATATATATGATTGGATAATGTATCTGTGAATTTTTACAGTCAGACATATAAATACTTATAAAATATTTCTTAAAATTGTTTGGTTTTGCATACTTTTTTCTATTTTTGTTTTTTAATTAAAACAGGATAATATATTTACATTTATGAATTTTGATCTGATCATCACACCACTATATACTGAACTATTAAAAAAATAATAAAGTGTCATTTTAAATGAATCGGTGAAGATGAAAATCATGCCTTTGATTCTAGCACAATGTTCATTCACTGAAACGGTGAAACCCACCTGTGGACATTTACTTCCTCCACCCGTCAACCAGCGGGAGATACAGATGAAGCCGAAGAGGTGACCGCAGCGGAGAGCAGCCAAGCGGTGGTCACCTGCCATGGTCCAGGGCTCAAAGCAGATGGAGCAGGTCTCTCCCTCGCCCTCATCTGCTTCAGCCTCTCCAGCGGGACTCGCTGCAGCTGCCACAGGATCCTCCAACTCGGAGACAGGCTGGGAAGAGACAGATGACAATAAAGTCAATGAGAACTACCATTCACAATTCACTTTACTACAATGATTCTAACCGAAACGAGATATTCTGCCTCCTTCACAGCAAAACACAGAGTTCTGATGATTTCACATAATTTTTCACAACAGTTGAAGACAACCTAGCAATATAAAACCATCAGTCTCCTCAGACTCTTGTTCTGGCTCTTCTGGTTGAGCGGCTGCTATCAGCCGCAAGGCCTGCAGCTGCAAGCTGTGAAGGAGGTGGTGATGCTTGTGTGCTATGCTATGTGTGTGAGCAGGTTTGTGAATTTTTACAAATATAGTAAAATATGTTGAAACATGAATTTTTGAGAGGTTTTCACTATCTGAACACCTCGTAAATCATGTTTTGCTCCAAATATTATTTTTTCTATGAGGACATGGTTTAGAGCTAAGGCTAATTATATAATATATTATATTTAAAAATACAAAAGTATAAAATATTTATTTATATATATATATATATATATATATATAAATTTGTTGTTGTATTAAAACAGGATAATTTATCTGAATCTGTGAATTTTTACAGCCAGTCATGTAAATTATTTTAAAATGTCTTATAAATAATGTTTTGTTATATATATATATATATATATATATGATTGGATAATGTATCTGTGAATTTTTACAGTCAGACATATAAATACTTATAAAATATTTCTTAAAATTGTTTGGTTTTGCATACTTTTTTCTATTTTTGTTTTTTAATTAAAACAGGATAATATATTTACATTTATGAATTTTGATCTGATCATCACACCACTATATACTGAACTATTAAAAAAATAATAAAGTGTCATTTTAAATGAATCGGTGAAGATGAAAATCATGCCTTTGATTCTAGCACAATGTTCATTCACTGAAACGGTGAAACCCACCTGTGGACATTTACTTCCTCCACCCGTCAACCAGCGGGAGATACAGATGAAGCCGAAGAGGTGACCGCAGCGGAGAGCAGCCAAGCGGTGGTCACCTGCCATGGTCCAGGGCTCAAAGCAGATGGAGCAGGTCTCTCCCTCGCCCTCATCTGCTTCAGCCTCTCCAGCGGGACTCGCTGCAGCTGCCACAGGATCCTCCAACTCGGAGACAGGCTGGGAAGAGAAAATAAAGTCAATGAGAACTACCATTCACAATCCACTTTACTACAATGATTCTAACCGAAACGAGATATTCTGCCTCCTTCACAGCAAAACACAGAGTTCTGATGATTTCACATAATTTTTCACAACAGTTGAAGACAAATTAGCAATATAAAACCATCAGTCACCTCAGACTCTTGTTCTGGCTCTTCTGGTTGAGCGGCTGCTCTCGAGCCCTCGGCCTCGGTAGAAACACTGGACCCTGAGTTACACAAAAACATATGGCTTCATTTCATATGCGAGCAAGCCAACCATAAGAATAGGAATATAAATATATGAGTCTTACAAATACAATAGCAAAAAAAAGTGTTCAAGGATCAGAAAAGGAATAGAAAATATGGCAGAAAAAGAAATAAATCAATAAAAGTGACATTTCATTATAAATTAGTTGACTTTGATCTCCCATTTCATTATTCATTATAAAGTGGAGAGTTCCGGTCCTTCTGATGATTTCACATAATTTTTCACAACAGTTGAAGACAAATTAGCAATATAAAACCATCAGTCACCTCAGACTCTTGTTCTGGCTCTTCTGGTTGAGCGGCTGCTCTCGAGCCCTCGGCCTCGGTAGAAACACTGGACCCTGAGTTACACAAAAACATATGGCTTCATTTCATATGCGAGCAAGCCAACCATAAGAATAGGAATATAAATATATGAGTCTTACAAATACAATAGCAAAAAAAAAGTGTAGAAAAGGAATAGAAAATATGGCAGAAAAAGAAATAAATCAATAAAAGTGACATTTCATTATAAATTAGTTGACTTTGATCTCCCATTTCATTATTCATTATAAAGTGGAGAGTTCCGGTCCTCGATTCTGATCGGTTGAGCCGCGTTTCAAAGCTGTTGTAAATTACTCTACAAACATACACCTTTGTTTACTTTGTGTGTTGCTTGGCAACCACTTTGTTGCAACCACAACCGATTCTGAGGAACTACAGGTGCATCTCAATAAATTAGAATGTCGTGGAAAAGTTAATTTATTTCAGTAATTCAACTCAAATTGTGAAACTCGTGTATTAAATAAATTCTATGCACACAGACTGAAGTAGTTTAAGTCTTTGGTTCTTTTAATTGTGATGATTTTGGCTCACATTTAACAAAAACCCACCAATTCACTATCTCAACAAATTAGAATACTTCATAAGACCAATAAAAAAAACATTTTTAGTGAATTGTTGGCCTTCTGGAAAGTATGTTCATTTACTGTACATGTACTCAATACTTGGTAGGGGCTCCTTTTGCATGAATTACTGCATCAGTGCGGCGTGGCATGGAGACAATCAGCCTGTGGCACTGCTGAGGTGGTATGGAAGCCCAGGTTTCTTTGACAGTGGCCTTCAGCTCATCTGCATTTTTTG